CCCAAGAGGGGGACCACGAACAGAAAAGTCTATCCTTTCGCCCCAAGCAGCCCCCAGGAGGCCCCAAGAGCCCCCCTAGAAGCCCCAAGGGGCCCCCAAGAGGCCCCCAAGAGGCCCCCAAAGGGGCTCGAAAAGGGCCGCAATAGGACCCTTAAGAAGGCCCAGAGAAGTCCAATAAAGAGCGATCGGTAACGCACACAGCTCTTCACACCAGGGCTCCCAAGAGCGAACGGGGCCGTAAACAAGCTGATAAGACCAAGGCTCCCAGCAGGGAGCGGTGACGTAACAAGTTCCTGACACCAAGGCCCAGCCAAGGCTCAGGAACGGGCGGCAACGCAACAATCTCTGCACGCCAAGGCTCCAAAGAGCGCGGGGTGACGTAACAAGCTTTCAACGCCAAGGCTCCCAGTACGAACGGTGGTGTGAGTAATTTCGGTCAAGTACGAGTGATGACGTTGTGTTTTGGGCGAAGCCGTAAGGAGGGGTTCCAGGGGGGGGGGCGTAGCGCGAGCGGATGGGTTTAATAGCCGTTTTCGGGTTTCCCCTTAGATTTTTGCATGTTTTTCGGGTTACCCCCCAAGACGGCCCAAGAGCGCTCCAAGAGAGTCCAAGACCGCCCAAGACGGCCCAAGAGGCCCCCGAGAGGCCCCCCAGAGGCGCCCAAGGGGCGTCCTAAGAGGGCCCCAAGAGGCCAACATCATGGATTTTCCAGAGGAAAACGTATATTCTTGTATATACGGAAAGAGCGGCTTTCACGGCGTTGACGACGACCCAAGAGGCCCCCAAGACCGCCCCAAGACGGCCCAAGAGGCTCCCAAGAGGCCCCCAAAACGGCCCAAGAGGGCGCCAAGACGGCCCAAGAGGCGCCCAAGACGGCCCAAGAGGGCCCCAAGACGGCCCCAAGAGGGGGACCACGAACCGAAAAGTTTAGCCTTTCGCCCCAAGACTCCCCCAGGAGGCCCCAAGAGCCCCCCAAGAAGCCCCAAGAGACCCCAAGCGGCGTCCCAAGAGGCCACCAGGAGGCCCAAACCATTTTTTCTCACGGGAGAAGGTACATGTTTAGCATGCAAGACTTTTCGGCTTTCACGGCGTTGGCGACGGTCCAAGAGGCTCCAAAGACCGCCCCACGACGGCCCGAGAGGCTCCCAAGAGGCCCCCAAAACGGCCCAAGAGGGCGCCAAGACGGCCCAAGAGGCGCCCAAGACGGCCCAAGAGGGCCCCAAGACGGCCCCAAGAGGGGGACCACGAACCGAAAAGTCTAGCCTTTCGCCCCAAGAAGCTCCCAGGAGGCCTCCAGAGCCCCCCAAGAAGCCCCAAGAGGCCCCCAAGAGGTTCCCAAGAGGCATCCAAAAAGGGCCCGAAAAGGGCCCCAATAGGACTCCCAAGCAGGCCCAGAGACGCCAAATAAAGAGCGATCGGTAACGCAAAAAGCTCTTCACACCAAGGCTCCCAAGAGCGAACGGTGACGTAAACAAGCTGATAAGGCCGAGGCTCCCAGCAGAGAGCGGTGACGCAACAAGTTCCTGACACCAAGGCCCAGCCAAGGCTCAGGAACCGGCGGCAACGCAACAATCTCTGCACGCCAAGGCTCCCAAGAGCGAGGGATGACGTAACAAGCTCTCAACGCACAGGCTCCCGGCACGAACGGTGGTGTGAGTAATTTCGGTTTCTGTTGCTGCAGCGCTCTTTCCGTTTCTGTTCCGGGCCAGGTCTAGTGGCCTTCGGCCCATCCCGGCACCGTGCCTGAGTTGCATTGACGCCGATGAAGGTCAGAAGCCTCTTCGGTGCCCGTTGGGATCTGCTGGGGGTCATCTCGGGCGCCGCCTCCGGGGCAGCTTTGGCGCGTATCGGGACCTCTCGGTGACTTTCTGCGGGCCTTTTGTTGGGGTCTCTTGGGATGCCTCTCGGGGGCCTCTTGGAGGCGCCTCATGGGGCCTCCTGGGGTCTCTTGGAGGCCTCTTTGGGGCCTCTCGGAGGACCTGGGTGCCTCCTGGGGGACTCTTGTACCCCTTTCGGGGTCTCCTGGGGACCTCTTGGCGGTCTTGGGGGCGCTACTGAGGTACGAGCAGGCTCGTGGGGTGGGGTTTCCTCTTTCTGAGGCAAAAGCATTGCAATGGCTGTTGGCCCTGGGACAAGTCGCGCGGAACACCGCAGACGTCACGTGGAACGCCACAGAAAATACGTGAGTTGGGCCTTTGGTCCCGGTAAGGGTGTTCAGGAATACTCAGCACAGAGCTCTCGAGGGGACCTGAGGCTCACTGACTGCCTACTGCAAGGTGGCAGGTCCGTGATCTATGTTGGAGCAGACTCAGTTTGGACGTCGTGTGCCAAGACGTTTCCGTCTTGTCTCCCCTCTCCTCCGCCGCGCCTTTCTCATATTCGCCCGCGGTCAGTGGCCTTTCCTCGGTCCCACACCTTGCAGCAGGGGCACCCGCGGAGGCTGCACAGCATCAGGTGGTTGTGCATCTTACCTCTTCTTGGCGTGTGCCCACAGGAAAGAAGTGGGGGCCGGGATGAAGAGAATGAGGAGGATAAGGAGGAGGAGGAGGAGGAGGAGGAGGAGGAGGAGGAGGAGGAGGAGGAGGAGGAGGAGAGGAGGCGGAGGAGGAGCAGGAGGAGGAAGAGGAGAAGCAGGAGGAGCAGGAGGAGGAGGAGGAGGAGGAGGAGGAGGAGGAGGAGGAGGAGGAGGAGGGGGCGCGTCGCGACGAGGGGGAGCATGACGTGAACGACTGCCGCGGAGTGGAGGCTCCAAGCCATGAGCTCCCTGAAGCGCCCGCGCGAGGAAGAGCTGCCGACCAGATGGCTGGACCTCAAGGAGTTGCGCACGCCTTCTGTGCGGCAACGCGATCCTCGATCCTCGCCCTCGATACTCGTTCCTCGACCCTCGAATCTCGATCCTCTCTCCTCGTTCCTCGAAGCCTCGATCCCCGAGCCTCTTCTCGGCGGAGGTGGATTTGGGCAGGCGGGTGGAGGATGCGGAGGGGCAGAGGAGGCCAGGACGAGGATACATCCGTCCAGAGCGCTCCCGAACACTCCGAAGCGGTGCGGAACGCTCTGAGGAGGCCGCGGCGCCCGATGCACACTCCAGCGCCAGATCTCAGACATCCTCCATTTACAGTCGGCCCGCATGGCAGGGATGGGCAACCTTCTCGAGGGTGCCCTCGCATCCTTGCCTCCTCGGTCCATCCTTGGCCACTTTCGTTGGCCGCGCCCCGCTCGAAACGCTTCGAAACGGCCTTCCGAGGGCCTTGCATTCTTATCGCGCATCCTTATGATGCGGGCCGACTGTACCAAAGCATGTAGGAGCACGCGTACCGAAGGAAAGCCCAGCAGACTGTCTCAGGAAACGTGTACACATCGCGTAGCAGCACACTTACCAAGGGAGGTGCAAATAGACGATCCCAGGATGCATCAAGACGGTCGCGTAGATGCACGCGATAGTGTGAAATGGCACTAGCAGGAATCGAATCTACGGCATGACATTCTCGTCTCATCCGAGATGCCCTTCGAGCCATCGGGTTCTTTCCTGCAGCTCCTCCTCCGCGTATCCTCACCCGATTTGGTTTGGTTCTCGTTCTAGCTCTGTCTGAAAGGGGGTATTGGGCGGTAAGCACGGAGCACGAGGGGGGGCGCGACCCCTGCGGGGTCCTGCAGAGCGGTGCGGCCGCAGCCGATGGCGCCCAGCCTTGCGAGCACTTGCGCTAACATCCTCCTTCTCCTCCTCCTCCTTCGCCTCCTCCTACGCCTCCTCCTCTTCCTCCTCCTCCTCCTCCTCCTCCTCTCCTCTCCTCTTCTCTTCTCTTCTCTTCTCTTCTCTTCTCTTCTCTTCTCTCTCTCTCTTCTCTCTCTCTTCTCTTCTCTTCTCTTCTCTTCTCTCTTCTCTTCTCTTCTCTTCTCTTCCCTTCCCTTCCCTTCCCTTTCCCTTCCCTTCCTTCCCTTCCCTTCCCTTCCATTCCTTCCCTTCCCTTCCCTTCCCTTCCCTTCCCTTCCCTTCCCTTCCTTCTCTTCTCTTCGCTTCTCTTCCCTTTTCCTTCCTTCTCTTCTCTTCTCTTCTCTTCTCTCCTCTTCTTTTCTCTTCTCTTCTCTTCTCTTCTCTCCTCTTCTCCTGTCTTTTATTATCTTATCTTATCTTATCTTACCTTCTCTTCTCTTCGCTTCGCTTCGCTTCTCTTCTCTTCTCTTCTCTTCTTTTCTCGTATCTGATATTATCTCATCTCACCTTGTCTAATCATGTATTACCGTCTTCGCTATTATGTTATATGTAGTATATCATCGTATCTTACTTTATCATCTATTATCTACTTTTATATTCCCTTCTCTGCTCTTATCTTATATTCTCTTCTCTTCTCTTATCGTCTCTTCTCTTCTCTTCTCTTCTCTTCTCTTCTCTTCTCTTCTCTTCTCTTCTCTTCTCTTCTCTTCTCTTCTCTTCTCGTCTCTTCACTTATCTCTTAGTTTCTCTTCGCTTCTCTTCTCTTCTCTACTCTTCCCTTCCCTTCCCTTCCCTTCTCTTCCCTCCTCTCCTCTCCTCTCCTCTCCCCTCCCCTCCCCTCCTCTCCTCTCCTCTCCTCTCCTCTCCTCTCCTCTACTACTCCTTCTTCCTCTCCTCTCCTCCTTCCTCTCCTCTCCTCTCCTCTCCTCTCTCTCCTCTCCTTCCTCTCGTCGCGTCTCGTCGCGTCTGTCTGTCTCGTCTCGTCTCTTCTCGTCTCGTCTCGTCTCTTCTCTTCTCTTCTCTTCTCTTCTCTTCTCTTCTCTTCTCTTCTCTTCTCTTCTCTTCTCTTCTCTTCTCTTCTCCTTTCTTCTCTTCTCTTCTCTTCTCTTCTCTTGTCTTCTCTTCTCTTCTCTTCTCTTCTCTTTCCTTCCCTTCCCTTCCCTTCCCTTCCCTTCCCTTTCCCTTTCTGTTTCCCGTCCCGTCCCGTCCCGTCCCGTCCCGTTCCGTCCCGTCCCGTCCCTTCCCTTCCCTTCCCTCCCCCTTTCCCTTTCCCTTTCCCTTTCCCTTTCCCTTTCCCTTTCCCTTTCCCTTTCCCTTTCCCTTTCCCTTTCCCTTTCCCTTTCCCTTTCCCTTTCCCTTTCCCTTTCCCTTTCCCTTTCCCTTTCCCTTTCCCTTTCCCTTTCCCTTTCCCTTTCACTTTCCCTTTCCCTTTCCCTTTCCCTTTCCCTTTCCCTTTCCCTTTCCCTTTCCCTTTCCCTTTCCCTTTCCCTTTCCCTTTCCCTGTCCCTTTCCCTTTCCCTTTCCCTTTCCCTTTCCCTTTCCCTTTCCCTTTCCCTTTCCCTTTCCCTTTCCCTTTCCCTTTCCCTTTCCCTTTCCCTTTCCCTTTGCCTTTGCCTTTGCCTTTGCCTTTGCCTTTGCCTTTGCCTTTGCCTTTGCCTTTGCCTTTGCCTTTGCCTTTGCCTTTCCCTTTCCCTTTCCCTTTCCCTTTCCCTTTCCCTTTCCCTTTCCTTTCCTTTCCTGTTCCTGTTCCTGTTCCTGTTCCTGTTCCTGTTCTTGTTCCTGTTCCTGTCCTGTCCTGTCCTGTCCTTTCCTGTCCTGTCCTGTCCTGTCCTGTCCTTTCCTTTCCTTTCCTTTCCTGTCTTGTCCTTTCCTTTCCTTTCCTTTCCTTTCCTTTCCTTTCCTTTCCTTTCCTTTCCGTTCCTTTCCTTTCCTTTCCTTTCCTTTCCTTTCCTTTCCATTCCATTCCTTTCCTTTCCTTTCCTTTCCTTTCCTTCCCTTCCCTTCCCTTCCCTTCCCTTCCCTTCCCTTTCCTTTCCTTTCTTTTGCTTTCCTTTCCTTTCCTTTCCTTTTCCTTTTTTTCGTTCATTGCCTTTCCTTTCCTTTCCTTTCCTTTCCTGTCTTGTCCTTTCCTTTCCTTTCCTTTCCCTTCCTTTCTTTTCCTTTCCTTTCCTTTCCTTTCCTTTCCTTTCCTTTCCTTTCCTTTCCTTTCCTTTCCTTTCCTTTCCCTTCCCTTCCCTTCCTTTCCTTTCCTTTCCTTTCCTTTCCTTTCCTTTCCTTTCCTTTCCTTCCATTCCATTCCATTCCCTTTCCCTTCCCTTCCCTTCCCTTCCCTTCCCTTCCTTCCCTTCCCTTCCCTTTCCCTTTCCTTTCCTTTCCTTTCCTTTCCTTTCCTTTCCTTTCCTTTCCTTCCCTTCCCTTCCCTTCCTTCGCCTTCCTTCCCTTCCCTTCCCTTTTTCCTCCTTCCCTCCCCCTCTTCCCTTCCCTTCCCTTCCCTTCCCTTCTCTTCTCTTCTCTGCTGTCTGCTCTGCTCTGCTCCTCTCTTCTTGTCTCGTCTCTTCTGACCCGTTATGATATATTATCTTATGTTATCTTATCTTCTCTTCTCGTCTCTTCTCTTCTCTTCTCTTCTCTTCTCTTCTCTTCTCTTCTCTTCTCTTCTCTTCTCTGCTCTTCTCTCTTACCCTTTCTCTTTCTCTTTCTCGTTCTCGTTGCCTTCCCCTTCCTCTTCCTCTTCCTTTTCCTCTTCCCTTCCCCCTTCCCTTCCCCCTTCCCCTTCCCTTCTCTCCTCTCCTCTCCTCTGCTCTCTTTTCTCCCCTCCTTTCCTCTCCTCTCCTGTCCTCTGCTCTTCTCTCCTCTCCTCTTCTCTACTCTACAACGACGGCGGCGGCGGCGACGACGACGAAGACGCTGACGTGGGCCACAGGGATGCTTCTTGGGGTCTCTTCGGAAGGCTCTCGGGGGCCTCTGGGGATGAATTCTGGGGCCTCTTGGGAGCCTCTTGGGGGTCTCTTGAGAGCCTCTTGGGGCCTCTTCGGGCTTCCTGGGGACCTCTTGTGGGCCGGGCCTGTTGGGGCCTCTCGGGGACCTTGGGGCCTCCTGGGAGTCTCTCGGGGCCGAGGGCTCGAAATGTTCGTTCGGTCTCCCCGTCTGGGCAGACTCTTGGAGCCGTTTTGGGGGCCTCTTAGGCTGTCTTGGAGGCGTTGCGGGACGTCTTGGGGCCCTCTTGGGCTGTGTGGGGGTCCTCCGGGGAGGCCGTCCTGGGGCGCGATCTTGGAGCGGCGGAGAGCGGAAGAGGCGAGAACGCCCAAACCATGAAGAAACCAGAGGACGTCTCGGGGGCCTCCTGGGCAGTCTGGAGGGCGTGCGTGCGTTTTGGACCCATTGTTTGGCGATTGGGGGCCCTCTTGGACTGTCTCGGGGGCCTCTTCGGGCATTCTTGGCCTGTCTCAACTTTTTCGGAGGCCCCGGGACCCCAGGGGGGGATGCGTATCTGGTCCACCCCTCTCCGGTACCCTACCCCCCCTAACCACCCCCCTAGCCCCTCCCACACCCCCAGGACCACCCTCCCGACGGGGAGGGATCAAAGGAAAGGGGCTTCCTGTCGACTCGATTACGACATTGCTAGATTTTTCTCTCGCTGACAGGCTTGAGAAGGAGGGTGCAGGGACAGGGGACGACGGAGACGGCGACTAACGGAGACGACGGCTCGAACAGGCAAGCCCCTCACGCACGCCGACAGGGTCGCTGATTTCAAATTCGCGCTCTCGCGCGGGACCTCCTTACGACTTTGCAGTGACCGCGTTCCCGCGTGGCATTTCAGAATTTATTGCGGCGCCGTTCCCCCAACACAGGAATCACGCTCTCGCTGTGGATTCCCTCGCGATTTTACCTTCGAGTCGCGCTGTTGCCCGAAACTTCCTCACGGCTCGTGTTAGGCTGACGCTTCAGCGACTCGCTCGCTCGACGCGGCCGTCCGGGCCCGCCCGGCCTGCCCGTCGGGGTCCGCCCGGCCGGCCGGCCGGTCCGGTTCTGCCGCTCGTGCTTTTGCTGCTGAGCCTCCTCCTGCAAAGTGTCTCTCGTGCTCCAGCCTTCTCCCTTCCCCCTTTTTGTCTTTTCCCTCCTCCCTTCCTTCCCCTGGTCCAGCGGCTGCACCAGCTGCACGTGGCAGGTAGGGATGTTATACCCCAAGGGGTGGTACGATCGGAGACGAAGAGGGCGGGTACCGAGGGTCTGGAATGTATGTTGTTGTTGTGGTTGTGGTTGTTGTTGTTGTCGCTGCTGCTTATGCTGCTGTTGTCGCTGCTGCTGCTGTTGTTGTTGGTGTTGCTGCTGCTGTCGTTTGTTGTTGTTGGTGGTGTTGGTGGTGGTGTTGGTGTTGGTGTTGGTGTTGTTGCTGTTGCTGCTGTTGTTGTTGGTAGTGGTGGTGGTGGTGGTGGTGGTTTGCTTTTGTTAATGTTGTTGCTGTTGCTGTTGCTGCTGCTGTTGTTGTTGTTGTTGCTGTTGTGATTGTTGTTGTTGTTGTTGTTGTTGGTGGTGGTGGTGGTGATGGAGATGATGGTGATGATGGTGATGATCATGGAGATGGTGCTGCTGCTGCTGGTGATGATGATGGCGATGCTGCTGCTGCTGACTGCTGCTGCTGCTGCAGCTGCAGCTGCTGCTGATTATGATGCTGCTGCTGATGATGATGATGATGATGATGATGATACTGATGATGATAATGATGATGATGATGATGATGATGATGATGATGATGATGATGATGATGATGATGATGATGATGATGATGATGATGGGGAGGAGGAGGAGGAGAGGGACGAAGAGGCGCAGGAGGACGGGTAACGGGGAGGAGGAGGGGGAGGATGAGGCGTTTTCTTGCGGAAGTGATGGGACAAAACGCACCGCCTCCCAGCTGGCGACGCGGGAGAACACGGCGACCCCGCTCTTCGCTCTGTTGCGTGTGTGGTGCAGCCGGGTGTGGAGGATACGGATGGTGATATTGAGGATTAGCGGGGAGAGAAGGAGGAGGATGTGGGGGTGGAGGAGGAGGAGGAGAAGGAGCACGGGTAGGAATAGAAGAATAGAGCAAGGAGCAGGAGCAGCAAGAAGAGAGGGGGCAGATGCAGGAGTGTTCGGAGCAGGAGCAGGGGAAAGACCATGAATCTGACAAGTATTGGCAAATTTGAAAGGGGATGACGAAGGAGTGGGTGGGGGAGGGGAGGGGGGGGGGATGAGTTGGGAAGGAGGAGTAGCATGAGAAATATCAGACGAATGAACAGAAGGAGCAGTCTTCACAGAACGAGCAGGATGAGGGGCATGGACAGAAATTGGAGGAGGGGTGTCGGGAGGAAGGTGAGGAGGACGAGGAGGAGGAGGAGGAGGAGGTGGTGGGAAGGAGGAGCAGGGGTGAGGAGAGACCGTCCCGCAAGTGTGTATTACACCATCCTCGCTGCCCACGTTGTTGTTTACGCACCATGATGCAGCTGTGCCCACTCTCGAATCTGCTCGCGAGTATGCATCGGATCGTTGTTTCTGCTATTCGATTGTTCTCCTTCTTTCCTGCGGCGGGCCGTGGAATGGGCTGTCCGAGCCTCTGCCATTCATTCCAGGGATCCAGTCACTGTGAGTTCGAAAGCATGCCAGGCGAAGTACGGATACTTCATTGACGACACGGTCGTGAATCCTGGCCTGGGAATCCCCTTTTACAAGACAGTCCTCGAGGCGCTCGCGACTTCTTGCTTTTCTTTTACACATGTCATTCTCTTCTTCACTCGGAGTGCTGCATCCCGCTGCCGTTGCTAGCGTTCTGCCCTGGGCGGCCTCTGCTCAGCCTCCCTCTCATGATCATTTTGCCCATCATGTGCTTTCGCATCGGCACTCCCCATTCGCAAAAACTGATGATTGGTTCTCCCCTGGAGGTAACACCAGCAAGGGATGGCATAGCCATGCAGCCGAGCGATCGTTGAACTCGTCGGCAGGCGTCGCAGAGTTACAGCAGCGGCCCATCGGTGCCCAGCTGTCCCGGTCCCGGCTGGGCTTCCCGACGGGCAACAGGCGCGGACAGCCGAATGCCGTGCTTTTCCGCGAACGTGGCTACCCCAAGGCCGGGACCCCCTCTGCGGGACTGGCTGCTCATGCCGAGTGGTCTTTGGAGGCCTAAAAGCTTTCCAATACCTTTGAAACCAAGACCGACGCGAGGATGTCAGTCAGGAGGAGAAAAAACACACAGACACAATTAATCCTCGATTCCCCAGCAAATATAGGAAAATATGGGAACTGGGGGGGAAGACAAAAACCCAGAAAATATAGGAAAATATGGGGAATCTTTTTATTTGTGTGTATTCATTTGTGTGCCCTGGGGCCCCTTCAGTCAGGAGCGCTGTCCCCGGAGGTCCCGGCCGCTTCCTGGGGGGGCCGTTTTTCCAGCAGGTCCGTGCGGAGCGGCCCCGGGGCCTGGAAGCAGCACCGGACGGCCGGAGTCAGAGTCATCTCTCCGCCTCGACTCCGCTGTGGATGGTCTTCTTGGCATCGCTCGGACGTGTGATTTTTTTCTCGGCGAGAACCATCGAGGACCATCCTGGACCATCGAGCAAAAAAACACACGCACGAAATCGAAGAATGCACGGGAAATGGACGTCCGAGCGACGGCAAGTCTTGGAGACCGAAGGAGCGGCACCTGGCATCCTCTTGGGCTGAGAGGGAGGCGTGGTGTCCGACCAGAAAAGGGGGAGTCTGCACAGCGGACACGGATGCAAAACATAGTCAGGGCACGATTGTTCAGTTGTGTTTGACCATTATGAGAATCTTATGTTTTTTTAGCTCTCTTCCAACATCTGCCTGTAGGAGGACATGCCCGACCTATCGCTGCTCGCTGTTCTCATCCTCATCGTCTCTGTCCTCGGCGGCATTCTAATTAGGGAGGGGAAGCAAGAAGGGGCGGTCCTTCTCATAAGGCTCCGAAGTCCCCTGGCCTCCTGAGAAGTTTTCTAAGCCTTCCCCGCAGACAAACAAACACTTCTCAGAAGGCGCGAGGGCTTCTGAGAAGTCCCGCAGCCTTCTGAGAAGGCCTTCCCCTTCTCATTTCCCCCCCTCGCTCGCCGCAAGGTTTCTTGTGGTCGGGCCCCCGCTGTAGGACCTTTTTCTTCTCCCTCTCGCGCCCGCAGTGTCGTTCTGCTCCGAGGAGACCGCCGCCGTCTTCGCAGGCGGTTTTTCTCCCCCACTTTTTGACTTGAGAAACTGCTCAGAAAATAAGGTGAATCGAGATTTTCGACGAGAAATGAGGGGAAATGAGGGAAACCCCCAACCCCCGACTTGGGAAACCGATTTTTTTCTCGACGAGAAATGAAGCCGCCCAGAAATGGAGGGAAACTCTGGGATACACCTCCACTGGAGCTACTCGGACGCACCCCTATCGAGGCTGGGCGCGTTCGCATTCTATGCTCCAGGGCTGGACCCCAAGTCGTTGGGCCCTTCGCAAAACCCCACGGAGCCTGGGATGCAGTCGGACCGAGGTATGGACTTCTCGGACGACTACGTCCCCAGACCCCCTCGCGTTGTGAACAAATCACGGCGGGAGCTTTTCGCTATTATCGGCCTCAGGGGGCCTTTATCGGGCCTCGGGACCCTCAAAAACGACTCAGGATGAGTTTCGGGTCCCGGGGTAGGAGTCCAGACCTCCTGGGGTCGACGTTGCGAACGAATCACGACGTCGGGGGCCTGGGCCTGCGACGTCATCAAGACCGGCCTCACGGTCAACGACTTTCCCTTGGCCGCGAATGGGAGCCTTGTGTTGGAAGATGGTGGAGCTAACCCCTGGTATGGTGTTGTTCGATCTCCCTGTCCAACAGAAGTGCCAGGTTACCGCGGCTGGTTCTGGGGCTGCAGCCGGGTCCGGCGCGCCTTCTGCAGCGGCCACGGAAGGCCTGACAGAAGCGATGCGCGATGTCGTCAAGCTCCGCAACGACCAGGCCACAGCTGCCACGAAGCGTGGCCGGTAGTTCGACGTGGCCAAGCGCCGCAGTGAGGTCGGACTCCAGCTTTCCCCCGAAGGAGGGACTCCCCTTCGAAGAGGTGCTCGCTGCAGGGGCGGGCCAGCCGGCCCCCGCCAGGCCGCGCTTCTTCGTGGGCAGCACAGACGGCGAGGCCTTGCAGAGGCACCGCCGTCTTGCAGTGGTCGAGGACGCCCATGATCAGGAGGGGAAAACACACACAGACACAATGAATCGTCGATCCCCCAGAAACTATGGGAAAATATGGGAAGCGGGGGGGGAAGACAAAAACCCAGAAACTCTAGGAAAATATGGGGAATCATTTTATTTGTGTGTATTCATTTGTGTGTCCTGGGGCCCCTTCACATGGTCGCGGCCATGCCCGCGGGGGGGTCGTGAGTGGACCGCCCCAGGGCGAGCCTCGCCGTCCGCCGGGCCCGGACGGCCGAGGGCAAGCTGGCCTATGCCACCGGCTCGCAGGGCTCGTGGGCCACCGGGTGCGCGCGGGGCACCTCGCCTACAGCTCCTCGCCTACAGGCGATCTGCCTCCCCCTTGACCAAGGGCGCCCTCGAGGGCGCGAAGTTATTCGCGCTTCGCGCTTCGCGGTTCGGCTCCGATTTCTCCTCATCCTCCTCTTCTCCCCTGGGAGGCGGCGCGACGAAGGCGTGCGCGCCAGGGGGGCTCCTCGCCTGCAGTTCCGTCGGGGCTGGCGTGGCGGAGGAGTCCGGGGGCATGCACACGGCCTGCCAGTGCGGCACGCTGGTCCTGAAGGAGGCGGCCAGTGTCCTCGAGGGCGGCCAGGACGACGTTTTTCCACGCTCTTCACGCACTTCGGCCAGAGGCAGAGGACGAGGCGACCATTGCCCGAGATGGCAAAGCAGCAGGCCGCGCTGGGACTTCGGCGGCGGTTGCGTCGCAGCCACCGGGGGGCGGGCAACGGCGGCGGCAAACCCCAGAGGGTTTGTTCGCCGATCAGGCCGCCGTGGCGGGATCGCTGCCGGACCGCGGGCGCCTAAGGCGCCGGCAGGGGCAAGGGCGGCGGCAAGGGCAGCGACGACGGTTTGGATTAGAACAGGTCCAGCGAGCCGCCTCGAGGATCGGAGCAAGCGCTCCAGTTCCAAACGCCAGTGGCCTGGCGCGATGGGCCAGAAGAGCTGGGCCGTGCCTCGGGCTCCAGAGCCTGGCTGCAAGCCATCGGTCCACTGTGTCCGCAGCGGGGCCGCCTCCCCGCTCCTCTTTTCAGGAGGGAACAAAACACACAGACACAAATATTCGTCGGTTCCCAGAAAATATGCGAAAATAGGGGAAGTGGGGGGAAGACAAAAACCCAGAAAATATGGGGAAATATGGGGACTCGTCTTAATTGTGTGAGTTTATTTGTGTGTCCCAGGGCCCCTTCATTTTCTGCTTCTGATCTTGCGGTGGGGTCGCTCCCGAGGCAGGCGTCCGGCGTGGGCTCCATGGCTTCCGAGTGGGCGCGCTCGCTGCCGAGCGCTGCGGGGCTCGCTCCTTTGTGGAGCCGCTTCCTTTGGCGGCTGTGGGGCGCGCCGAGGGCACGCGCCCGGCAGAGTACAGTCGGGCCGCTGACGAAGGAGCCCTTTTCTTTGGGGAGGGGCTGGGTGTTTCGGGGCGGGCGAAAAGGGGGGATTGGGAAAGGGGGGGTTACGAAATTTGCTGCATGCAGCTGGTTTCGGCCCCACCGAGGGGCCCATTCCTCGATACATGGCCGCCTCCGGCGCCGGGAGGCGCCGGGCAATTCAGCTACGTGGGCTGATTCTCAAACCCCCTTTGCTATCCCCCCCTTTCGCCCGACCCGAGTGTTCCTTGATTGTTCCACACCTTGCCAAAGATTTTCCCTAAGTTTTCGACGGGAAGTCGAAGTTTCACTTATGGAAGAGAAGGGGCCTCGGTCCTTGTTTAGGGTTCCTTAGGTCAGCGCCTCGACTGTAGAGCAGCCGTCGCAGCGAGCGTCTCGAAGTTTGGCGCCAACGCGCATGAGTGACGGACCGAGCGTGGCAACATGAGTGGTTGCTCTTGCCGTATGACTCCCAGCGCGTGCTCGGACCAGACAGCTATATGCCTGCGTGCCGAAGTTTTGGGGGCCATGTAGTGGCCAGACCGGGCGCTGGCAGCGGACCTGAAAACCGAGCCTCCTCTGCTAGGCCGTCTGCCCAGGGGCGGCATGTTTCGCCGCAGGAGTACGCTGTTTCGTCAGAGTGCGAATTCTTCCCTAACCAAGCCGCGGCGTTGAACGAGCGCGCATTGGCGCAGGCTTTCGGAAGGTAAGTGCGTTGAGGATGTAGCCTCGCGGAAGGCAAGGTGGAAATTTTTACGCACCAGAGCACCCAATTTTGACTGTGTGCTTCCTTGTCCAGGAAGGGTTCCGCGAGGACCCGTCCAGATTCATCTGCTCAAGGTTGCGCCGTCTGTGCGATTTTGCAGGTTTGCTGACCTTCTGGCGTTTCTGAAGATAGCCGCGCACGCCTCGGGATTCGCCGATTCGCCGAATGGTTATATTGGGACGCGCGCGCGCTTTGCGGCGTGGGTGGGCCACAGGTCATCGAAGCCAAAGGCTTGGCTTCGCTCTCCCATTCAGGCGGGTGGAGGGGCGTGATTGCATCCGCATGCGCGTCTGCGAATGCTTCTGGGCCGCAGCAGACAGAAAAGAACCCCCCCAACGGCCAGGAGTGGAAGAGTGAGTTACGAACCGTACGCTCGTCAGACTCTCCAGCCCCCCAATTTAGGGGCGAGCCACGCTTTTTTTTTGTGGGTGCTACATGTACACATGTGTATATATACACATATATATATATCTATACATATATATATATATATATGAAAAGCTTTTGTGGCGGCCGCGAGGGCGCCAACTACAAGGAGGCGACCTGGAAGGACCAGTGCTGCGTGCGCACCTCGCAGATCCACTGGCGCGAGGACCACACCGTCACGTGGCGGGGACCCGGCTGCGCCCGCCTCGTCGCCATCGCCGCCGCTGTGGTCGTCGTCGCCGTCGTCGTCGTCGCCGTCGCCGTCGCCATCGTCGTCGTCGTCGTCGTCGCCGTCGTCGTCGTTCTCGTCGTCGTTCTCTTCATCGTCGTCGTGGTCGTGGTCGTGGTCGTCGTGGTCGTGGTCACGGTTCATCGTGGTCGTGGTCGTCTTCGTTTTGGGGAAGGACAATGACTGATGCCGCTGCGCCTCCTTCGTTTTCGCCTCGTCGCCACGGCTGGATTCGCCTCGAAATCATGGTCATCACGTGCCCCGAGAGTAGCGGTATCGGTAGTTTTTTCCTTCAGTGGTCGTGGTCGTCGCCGTTGTTCGATTTGATCGTCGGCGCTCTCGTCGTCGTTCTCGCCGTCGTCGTCGTCGTCGTCGTCGTCGTCGTCGTCGTGGTCGTCTTCGTCGTCGCTCTCGTCGTCGCTCTGGTCGTCGTCGTCGTCGTCGTCGCCATCGTGGTCGTCGTCGTCGTTTTGGTCTTCGTCGTGTCGTCGTCGTCGTAAAACGCAGGTTGATTCATACACACATTTCTCGCCCTCTCTCTCTCTCACTCTCACTCTCTCTCTCTCTCTCTCTCTCTCTCTCTCTCTCAATATATATATATATATATATACAGGACTGGTTCGGTGACCTTGTCCCAGGTGCCCCTGGTTGCCATGGGGGCGTCGGGCTTCCCGGGGACCATCCCCAGCGGCCCGAGAGCCGCGCAATCGGATGTAATTAGGTGGTGTCAAAGGAACACCCGAAGGCTCCCAGGTGTCTTGTGTGGCTCCCGGACGGTCCCAGATAGCTTCAAGACGGCCCACGAGAATTCGACGAGCGTTCTTCAGAGGGCCCCAAGAGGCAAACAACATTGGTTTCCCCAAGGCGTATCAATGTTTTTGGGGTCTCGACTTTCGAGCTTCGACGCTCCACGACATCCCAAGAGGCCCCCCAAGAGCGTCCCAAGACGGCCCAAGAGCCCCCCAAGAGGGCTCCAAGACGGGGCAAGAGGGTCCCAAGAGAGAGCTTTCGAGGACAGCCTGGGAGGGCCCGAAGGGGCACCAAGGGAGCTCCCAGAGCGGCCCCAGATACCCGACAAGTGAATACAAATTTAACACAACGCCGTCCTTGACGAGGAAGCGGATTGCGTTTACTTTGCGTTAAATTTGGGGCCCTCTTGGGGCCGTCTCGGAGCTCTTTTGGGGCGTCTGGGGCGCTTCTAGGGCCGTCTTGGGATTCTCTGGGCCGTCTTGGGGCCCTCTTAGGGACCTCTTGGGCCGTCTCGGAGCGGTCTTGGGGGCCTCTTGCGACGTCGTGGAACGCCAGAAGCTGGAAAAGTCGAGCCCTTCGAAAACACACAATAACCTAAGGACACTCGTTGGTCTGTGCCTCGTGCGGCCATCTGGGGAGCGCTCATCGCGTCGTCTTGGGCCGGAAGGCTCGAATTATCGCTTCGTGCTCCTGCGCGTCGGGCCCCTTTTAGGACCGTGTTTGGGCGTCTTGGGCCCCTCTATAGGGCTGCTTGGGGTCCCCTTGGGCCGTCTTTGGGCACTCGTGGGGGCCTCTTGGCCCGTCTCGGGGTGTTCTTGGGAGCCCCCTAGGACGTCGCCAGAAGCTGGAAGAGTCGAGAGCGCGAACACATTGAAACCCGTATAGACAATCAAAAATTTTCGTTCCTTGGGGTCCTCTGAAGAGCGTTCGTCCAGTCCTCCTGGGCCGTCTGGGGGCATCTGGGGACGGAAGTCTAGAATTGTCCTTCCGGGATCCTGCTGTTGGGCCCTTCTTTGGCATCAGGAGAGCCCCAGGAGGCCTCTGGAGGCCCCTGGAGGCCTCACAGATCTCCAGAGTCCAGAGGCCCCTGGAGGCCGCGGAAAAGCAAAACACGCCCCAGAACGTGCAATCGTCCGAGCACGTCCACAGACGGCGACCACCACCACCACGACCACTACGACGACCGCCACGACGATCATCGCGACGGCGGCGGCTGCGGCGGCGACAGCCTGGCGGCCCGGAGTCTCTGGGGCCCTTGGCCACCGTGGCAGTCACGGCACTTGCGCAGTCTGAGAAACATTCGGAGCCTTCCGACGCGTCGCGCATAGATCTTCGCACAGCTCCGCGACCGCCCACCGAACCCGGAGCTAGCCGCGTCCCCGAGTAGTCCCCCCCCCCTGGGGTCGTCTATGTTTCCTCTCTGCGTCCCGTATATGGCATGTGAGGCGGGGGAGGCGGCAGGCCCAACTTTAGTATCCCCCGGCACAGTTTCAGTCGTGCTTTTGATCTTCATACCATGCGTAGCGCATCTGAAGGGACTCCCCCCAGGAGGGACAAACGTCTACCTACGCCACTGTTTTTCACAGATTTCGTTCTTCACCTCCAGGGAGGCCCCCCAAGAGGAACCAGGGTAACATGATACCATCGTGTTTCACAGGACTCGTGCTCGTCCAACTCCTCCAGACAGGCCCACTGCGGAGGCTTCACCAGATCACCTTGGAGGTCCTTCAGTACCGATCCAGACATCCCAACATCGATATCTCCGGAAGAAGTTTGTTATCCTCCCAGGACCCCGAACCTTATCGTCCCCTGCGGGATTATTCTCTTGGGTGCGGGGTTATCCCTTAGAAGGCCCAGCGCTCCCACGCCGTAAGGGCGGTCCTTGCCCGGTGAACCCTTCCCTGGGTATCTTGGGCTTCGTGGATTGGTGCGAGGTCAGTTGACAATGACTGCGCAGTCGGCTGCAACCTAAACGTGTACGTAGCGCGCGCGCGCGTGTGTGTCTGTGTGTGTGTGTGAATCTCTGTATATGTCAATGCAGACCCACATAAATACACACAGCATACAGTTGCACAACTGTTTTACATGTATGCGTTTGTGCGTGTGTATCCATGTATGTATATATATATATGTAATCATTTATGTATATATCTATGTATGTATGCATGCATGTGTGCATGTATGTATGCATGCATGCTTTTATATGTATATGTATATGTATATGTATATGTACACATATATGTATATGTATATGTATATGTACATGCACATGCGTATGCATATGTTTATGTACATGCATATGACGATGTATATGTATTTGAATTGAACATGTATGTGTAGCTGTATACGCATATGTATATGCATGTGTATATTCACATATATATATATATAGATACATATGCATATGTGTACACATGTATGCATGGATGCATGTAGGCATGTGTGCCTGTACGGATGTCTGTATGTCTGTATGCCTGTATGTTTGCCTGCGTGTATGTGTGTATGCATGTCTGTATGACTGTATATCTGTAGGTATGAATGTATGATTGTATGACTGTATGAACGTATGAATGTATGAATGAATGAATGAATGTATGTAGGTATGTACGTACGTACGTACGTACGTACGTATGTATGTATGTATGTATGTATGTATGTATGTATGTATGTATGTATGTATGTATGTATGTACGCATAGATATGTATGAATGCATGTCGGCATGCATGTACGAATGCATGCATATTATATATAATGGCCTTCGGCCCATCCCACCGCCGTGCCTGGGTTGTGGGTTGCAGGCCTCTTGGATGTTCGTTTGGACATCGTCGTGGGCATCTCGGGGGTCTTTCGGAGGCAGTTGTGAGGCCCCTTGGAGGCCTTTTGGTTTTGCAGTGAAACAACTTTTTGGGCCTCTTGGGGGCTTCGTGGGGCCTCTAGGCGGCCTCTTGGGCTCGTTTTGGGCCCCTTCGGGCATCCTGGTGGCCTTTCGAGGCGGAGGGCTCGACTCGTCGGTTCGTGTTCCCCCTCTTGGGCCCCTCCTGGGGCTGTCTTGGGGTCCTCTTGGGCAATCATGGGCGCCTCGTGGGCCGTCTTGGAACCCCCTTGGGCCGTCTTGGGGCGTCTTGGGGCGGTCTCGAGGGCCACTGCGGTCATTTTGGAGCGTCGGCAGCCCGAGAACGCGAGAACGCAAACGCACATAGCAACCCAAACGGACTATCAATGTTTGTCGCGTCTTTGGGCCCTCTTGGGGGTCCCCTTTGAGCGTTCTTGGGGCTTCTCTGGGGTCTTGTGGGCCGTTTTGGTGCCATCTTGCGCGGCTTGCAGCGCTCTGGAGCTGTCCTGGAGGCCTCTTGGACCCTCTTGTGCGTTTGTTTGGGCCCTCTTGGCCCGCCTTGGGGCCTTCTGGCCTGTAGGAAGGTCATGCAGGGCAGCCCAAGAGCGCGCGGGGACGCCCAGGCAATTTGGGACGTTGGGGCCCCAGCCTTTAGACTACTATGACCATGGAGTCCTGGGCACAGGGAGCAGAGGACACATGGGGACCTGAAGAAAGCTCCACTTCGCGCCTTGCGGCACGGGTGGCGGGCGGTCGCTCGGAGTCAATTTCGCAGAGCGGCTGTCCGCTAGTGAGAGGAGGAGCAGTGAACGCGCACATGCTCTGAGGTCAATTAGCAGGGCGGCGCTCTGCAACTCATAGCCCAAGCAGGATGGGGGACCTTGAGTTGAGGCCAGTGACCAGAGCAGCCCTCTGCTAATGAGGGGAGGAGCAGCGAGCGCGCATGCTTTAATGCAATTTAGCGGAGCGCCGCTCTGCTAATTGGATCCCGAACGGTCTGGAGATGCATGGTCGGGGCCCACTCGTATACCACAGGATTCAGGACAGAGAATACAGGAGTGCCTGGGGGTAACTCCACTTCGTGCCTCGAGGCCTGGTGGCGGTTATATATGTATACATATCTGTACATATACCTACGGAGGTACCTGTACATGCATACATACATACATGCATGCATCCATTCAGATATACGTACAAACATGCATACCGTCACACACATACACACACATTCATGCATACATACATACAGTAATACATACATACATACATACATGCATGCATGCATACACACATATTCACACACACATACATACATACACATACATGTACACATACATACATCCATCCATCCATCCATCCATCCATCCATCCATCCATCCATACACACATACACACATACATACATACATACATACATACATACACACATACACACATACACACATACATACACACAAATACACATACATACACATGCATACATACATACACACATACATACATACACACAGACAGACATACCTACATACATACATACACGCATACATCCATACACACATACATGTATACATACATGCATACACACATGCACACAACCATACATACATGCATGCATGCCTACTCCCATTCATACACACATACATACATGCATGCATGCATGCATACATACATACATACATCCATACATGCATATCTACATACACACATACATACATACACACACATACATACATACATACATCCATACACACATATATACATACATGCATGCGTGTATGCATGCATACACACATACGTACATACACCTACACATACATGTATGCATGTATGCATACATGCATACATGTATACAACAACACACGTCTATATATACATATGTATAGGTGTGTACATTATATTGATGCACGCACATAACTGTATACATGTATACACATCGTACCTCACATGCGCATAACGGAATTCGTTGCGGTATGTTGGGCCGATGTACAATTTCAGGAAGTGCGCAGGACATCCAGAGTGGTTCCAGTCGAAGGATTTTCGTTTTTTGAATTATTTTCTCATGGCCATCATGAAGTACGGCTGGCATTCAATGGTTTTGACATTTGGGCGTGCGGCCGGTCCATATGGTGTCATTCCGCAGGGATTGTTAGAACCTGTGTTTGCAAGCTCAGCGTAATTTCGTCGCATAGTGTGATTTGTCCAGGGTGGCGGGGGCGGGCGGCTCCAGGCTGGCACAAGACGGTGCGAAATCATGTTCATGTTGGACGATTGTGCAGAATTTGGTTGTGGAAGCAGTCGAAAAAGGCCCGTGCTGGATCTGGTTCGGTGTCCAGCCTGGCCATCCTGCCCAGTCTGGTGGCACTGTGGGGTTGGAGGGCATAGATGACGCTTACCATTCTCATGCTGGAGATGGGAGGGGAGAGGGAAGGGGAGAGGCGATGGTGGGATTGCTTGGGGCGGCGCTGCGGAGGGAGGGGAGGGGGAGCAGTCACCAGGGGACACTAGCAGGGGAGAGACGGGGGACGGGCGAGGAGAGGAGCAACATTCGAGGGAGGAGGGGGGTGGGGGAGGGGCAGGGGAGAACACGGAGAGGAGACAGAGGGGTGGGAGGAGGGCCCCGAGCGGAGGGTGTCGTAGAGCCATCTCGCCGGCCGCCCCTCGCAGGCCGAGGGTGCGCAGAGGCCGGGCGGGGGCCCAGGCTGGAGCGGCACATGGAGATGACGCAGGGCTTCCTCGTGCTCGGCAGCAACCCTGGCCCGCGCCTCGGGAGACGCGGGAGGTGCACTGCCCCATGCTCGCTCCTGCCATCCCGAGGGCCTGGGGCACATGCGTGCTGCCTGCCGTTGCCCTCCTCCTCCTCCTCCTCCTTCACATATGGTTGCCTCCTCCTCACCCTTCTCCTGTCGCTGCCGCTGTCGGCTCCAGAGTTCCTTGTGAACGCAGCCATCCCCCCCTTCGCGGTGGCTGCTGCTGGGGGGGCGTGATCAAATTCCCCAGCAGCACTGGCGCCAGGGAGGGCGCAGCAGTGAGATAGGAACTCGCTCCGTTGAGCGAGGAGGTTGTGCAAGCTGCGGATCAGCCTGATCTCCCCTGGTCTTTTCAGTGATGTTACCTGTATCGCTCCACCTTGCACGCGCGTGGCAGTGTGGGTGCAGGCCTCCCGGTACTTGGCGTCGGCTGAGATCTGGGGGCCCATTACGGCGGGGGCGCCCACTCAGTATGACGTCGGGGGACACCGAAATAATATCTATTTTCGCCGGTCTCACCCAAGGCACTCCTGCACTCAGCTGGAGAGGTAGTGCAGATACTTCTGACCCCCCGAAGCTTCCCAGACGCTCCCTTGAACGCCTTCCCCTGCTTTCCTCCTCCTGCTCGTCCTCCTCTTCCTCCTTACTTGTCTCATGTTGTCTTGGATTTAGATTATTGGCCGTTTGGCCAATGCGGTAGGGGCTATGACTTAGTCTGAATTTTTGGTATATGTTCATAGATACATACATATACACAAACACAACGTGAACGGCGAATCACCACCCCACCCTGCCTTTTAGGGTACGCTTATGTGACCAAACGTCTGGGCAGCTTTTGATTTCGCTATTGGACCATGACTTCCCCCAGCCTTTGTGAAAGCCCTTCCGGGAACACGTAAAGGAGGAAGAGGGAGATGAGGAGAGGGAGGACAAAGGAGGATGAGGAGAAGATGAGATGACCGCTTGTTGGGAGCTTCTTGGGCCATTCTTGAGGCCTTCTGGGAGCTTCCTAGGGTCCTTTCGGAGGCTACCTTTTGCGTCTTTGGGGCCTGTGGGGCTTCATTGGGGGCTTCTTTGGCAGGCTTACGGCGTTCCTGGCCTGTCTGACGTCGTCAAAAGCCGTCTTGGGAGCCTGGGCCGTCTTGAGGCGCTTCAGGATCGTCTTGCCATTTTGGGCGTCTTGGAGGCCTCTTGGGCCGTCTTGGGGCCCTGTTGGGGACGTCTTGTGAGCCTCTTGGGCCGTCCTGGGGCCATTTTGGAGGCCTCTTGAGCGATCTTCGGGCAATCTTGGAGGCCTCCTGGGCCGTCTTGTACCGTCGGAAGGCCATTCTTAACCAACTGCCCAAATCCTTCAAAACCTAAGGAACATCAATGATTTGGGCCTCGTCGGGCCTTCCTAGAGGACCTCTTGAACGCCTCGCGTGCCATCTTGGGGGCCTCTTTGGCGCTTCTTGGTCCGTCTTGGGCTCTCTTGGACCATCTTGGCCGTCTTGGATGCATCTTGGGACCATGAAGCCCGTCTTGGATGCCGTCTCAGCCATCTTGGAGGCCATCTTGGAGCCATTTTGGAGGGGAAGACCCGTGGAGTGTACATTTTCGTGGGCTTTCCGTCGTCGTCGCCGCCGCCGCCGCTGTCGTCATCGTCGTCGTCGTCGTCGTCGTCGTCGTCGTCGGCGGCGGCGGCGGCGGCGGCGGCGGCGGTGGCGTCGTCGTCGTCGTCGTCCCAGCGGCGTCCGCCGCGCCCCCCGGGGGAGTGCCGCGGGGCCGCGGCCCGCGTCGAGCATCGGCTCGTGGCCGGGGAGCCTCGCGCCAGCCGCGGGCGGCAGTGCGCCGCCGGGGGGGGGAGGGGGAGGAGGTTGCGGCCTGTGAGCGTGTGCGTGCGTGTGTGTGTGTGTTTGTGTGCGCCTCCACGCGCCCGCTCCCGCCCTGGGGCAGGGCGGCCACCAGACATTTGACACTGACCGCATCGCACCCTTGATCTCTGGGACCGTCCCTGCAGCCGCACTGCGCCCCGCCGCCGCTGGCCCCCTGGTGCAGCAGCCGCCGCGGGTCCGCCGGCGGGGCCGGCCGCGCCACACGCTCGGGGCGTGACCCGTCCCCCTGAGCGGCTCGCTCCCCTCCCGCGCCCCTTTTCGGCCGTTCTCTCTGCCTCTCCTCCTCTCCTGCATGGTCGCGCAATTCGCTACAACGGTGTCCCCGTTTAGGTCGCCCTCCGCCAGCGCAGTTGCCCTGCCTAGCCGCCGACGCAACAATGTGTGTGTGTGTGTGTGTGTGTGTGCGTGTGTGCGTCTCCAGCAGGCATTCAGACATGTATGTTACAATGAAGCACAGTGCAGTCAGGACGCTGATATGAGGGCTGCTTCGGGTTCGGGATGGGGCTCGCTGTTCCTAGGGTCATCCGTTGGTTGTTCCTCAAGCCCTCCTCGTGCATGCAGGCGCTTTGGGGGTCAAGGAAAGGGGCTTCGTCCCTCATGCTGATCGTTCCTTGTTTCAGCAGCCCGACTGTATGGCTCGTGTTTAACGTTGCTAGCCTTTGTGCGTTGCCATGCCTGATGCAGGCCTGTTCGTGTTCGGCGAGCCGACGCACGATAGGGAGGACCGTCCTCTTTGCGCTCCATGAGCGTTCAGTCGGGCATGTCCCTCTACATGAGGAGTATTCAGAAATAGTCCAACCACAGTCCCAGGACGATTTTGTGTCCTCCATTTTTCTTCCACAGTCCACCTGTAGGAGGACATGCCCGACCTAGCAGTAGCGCACTCGGGCGAGCAGCGCGTGGATGCAGTGACGAGGAGATGGGAGCAAAGGGCGCCAGCAGGCGAGCAGGCCCGCCCAGGGCGGAAGGGGGGATGCTGCAGGGAGGACCAGGAGGGCGAGGAGGGATTGGAGGCGCTCACCCTCCTCCTCCTCCTCCTCCTCCTCCTCCTCCTCCGCAGGGGGATCGGGGAACGACGAGGAGGGCGAGGAGGGACGATGGGGAGAGGGCAGCGAGGGGGGAAGGCAGACATGGGGAGGGGCTGTGGGGCTGCAGCTCCTGGGAGGCTGCGTGCAGAATCGGCGCCGGGATCTTCTGGGTCGAGATTGGTTCAATGTATGTGGTTCGATCCCGTTTCATCCAGGCTTGATCCCGCTCAGTCCGGCTCAGCCACGTTGTATCCAGCTTCATCCTTGGGCGTAAGCTGGCCTGATCTGGCCCTTCGGAGCCAACGATATCGCCCTCAGATCGTTCCGACGAATGCCTCCCAGGTGGTGCCTCCCGAGGGATGATCCCCGCCCGTCCCCACCCGCCTCGCCGCTCCCCTGCGCACCGTGCCCCAGCGTCTGCCCGTGCCCCTCCCCCCCCCCGTGCGTGCGTGCGTGCGTGCGTGCGTGCGTGCGTGCGTGCGTGCGTGCGTGCGTGCGTGCGTGCGTGCGTGCGTGCGTGCGTGCGCGTGTGTGTGTGTGTGTGTGTGTGTGTGCGCGTGTGTGTGTGTGTGTGTGTGTGTGTGTGTGCGAGTGTGTGTGTGTGTGTATGTGTGTGCGTGCGTGCGTACGTGTGTGTGTGTGTGTGTGTGTGCGTCCGTGCATGCGTGCGTGCGTGCGTGAGTGAGTGTGTGTGTGTGTGTGTGTGTCTCTCGCACGTCTCGCCCGGCCGCGAGCGCCAGCTCTGTGCCGAGAGTACTCGACCTGCGCCGCCTCCTCGCCGCGCGCGAGGCCGCGACCGCCGAAAAGTGTGTCTGTCTGTGTGTGTATGTGTGTGTGTGTGTGTGCGCGTGTCTGGGCCTCCTGGACGGGGTTGGATCAGATGGGGTCGGAGGATCGTGCCGCGTCGCCGATGCATCGGCCATGCGGCTCGATGTGGAGCCCGAGCTTCTCCACGCCGACGTCGCTGGTGCATCGCCGACGTCGTCTGTGCATCGTCAAGGCATCGCCAATGCATCGCCGATGCGACGGCGATGATGTGCGATCCTCCGACCACATCAACTCCGACCCCAGCTAGGAGGCATCTAGTGTGTGTGTGTGTGTGTGTGCGTGTGTGTGTGCGTGTGTGTGTGTGTGTGTGTGCGTGTGTGTGTGTGCGTGTGTGTGTGTGTGTGTGTGTGTGTGTGTGTGTGTGTGTGTGTGTGTGCGTGCGTGCGTGCGTGCGTGCGTGCGTGTGTGTGTGTGTGTGTGTGTGTGTGTGTGTGTGCGTGCGTGCGTGCGTGCGTGCGTGCGTGCGTGCGTGCGTGCGTGCGCGCGTGTGCGCGTCTTTGCTGCCGCACCCTGGTGCGCAGGTTCGCCTGGCCCCCCTCCCAGCTTTCAGGGGAGGCACACAAGAGTACCCACACTGGAGTCCCGAAACGGTGCGGTGACAGACCGTGCGGTGACCTCGAAATCCCCCAAGACCTCACCGCACGGTCCGTCACCGCACGGTCTTGGGACCCCGGAGGCCCCTGTCGCCCGAGACATCCTCGGAGAACGACCCGTGCGGTGACCCCGAATCCCCACCGACTCACCGCACGGTGTGGTCACCACCCCGATTGGGGGCCCCCGACACACCGCCGCCCATGCCTCGTTCTCGCCCCCTTCGGCCTCCCGGGGGGCCTGCCACGCCCAGCTGGCTGCCGGTGCCAGCCTGCGCCGCTGGCGTGCGCGCAGGAGACCTCCACGGAGCACGCTCTGCCGCCCGCGGCTTCTTCCTCCTCCTCCTCCGCCTCCTCCTCTTCCTCCTCCTCCTCCTCCTCCTCCTCCTTGTGACCAGGTCTCAGAGGAGCTGCCGCGGCGCCTTACCGACCTTGAAAAGGAGGTACGCACTGCCAGCCTTGTGCGTAGGCTTATTGCCGCCGCTGGGGGAACGCCAAGCCCACCACCAGCCGTCCCAATGGAGGTTGAGCCCCCCTTGGCACAGGCTGCTGCACAGAAGCAGGGAGATCGAGTCGTCATCTGTCCGTCGTCGTCGACTACCGAGCCTGCTCCTGTGCACATGGCAGTGGCTTCTGACCCGCTGGAAGTGGTGGAAGAAGCTTCTCCTAGCAGACCCAGCCGTTTGAAGCCTGTACCCCCTGCGTTGGAGCGGGAGACGGTGGGTCCTTTGATCGCTCCGCCCAGTTGGCCACAGGGCCGTATCTGGAGGGCCCGTCACGGGGGTCCTGGTTCGACGGTTGAGTCAGGCCCACCCCAGGGACAGAGCTTGCTGCCGTCCTGGCGTTCGGTACACCAGGGGTAGTGAAGCGGAATCGTCCTGGCGTCGCCTTGAGTTTCCGTGCGTATTCGTGTGCGCGTCTGCTCGTGTATCAGGCACCCCAGTTGTGGGGGAAGGTGCGCTGCACGGGTGTTATGTTCTGAATTGTCTTCTGGGCGTGGCACGGGGGTGGAGCTCCTCCTCGACCGTTGCCCTGCCTGGACTTTCGTTTTAAGACTCTGCCGTTTGAAGCCGTTGCTCCCTGCGTTGGAGCGGGATACGATGGGTCCTTGATCGCTCTGCCCAGTTGGCCATTGGGCCGCATCTGGAGGGGAGGGCTCATCACGGGGGCACTGGCTCGGCGGTTTGAGTCAGGCCCACGCCAGGGGCGAAGCTGGCCACCGTCCTGGCGTTTCAGGTACACCAGGGGTTGGTCAGCCGCGTCGTCCTGGCGTCGCCTTGTTTGTTTGTGCGTGTCGTTTGCGTCGTGTGCGCGTGTGTCAGGCGCCCCAGTTGTGGGGGAAGGTGCGCAGCACGAGTGTTTTGGCTCAGGCCTGGCACGGAGGCGTCCCCGCCTCGACCGATGCCTTGCCCTGTTTACCCCCCTCCCGCTCAGAGCGGTGGGGGCAGCCACACGGGCGCAATGCCGCCCAGAAAGGTTGTTGGTGCGCGTCGGGCGCGCCCTACCCTCGAAGAGGGAGGAGCCCCGCGCGTTGCCTCAACTGTTTCGCAGTCCGACGCTTCGGACTCAGAGGTGCCCCTCGGACTTCCCTGCCCGAGGGGCGTCTCGGCCTCGACCTCCCTTCATTGGTCTTGGCCTTCGGGGGGCGGGCGGTTAGCCACAGGGGATCCTCCCCGTTGCGGGAAATCGCCCCGTGGCTGTCTCGCCCGCCCTCCCATTGCTCCTTTCCACACTGCTTGCTGGCCTGCCTTTATCCAGGCCGGGGAGCAGGTGGCGACGGCGGATCCGTCGTCTGTTGGGCACGGTTGATGTCAAAAAAATCCTCCTCCTCTTCCTCCTCCTCCTCCTCCTCCTCCTCCTCCTCCTCCCCCCGCCCGTGGTGCCCCACGAGGGCCCCGGAGCGGCGCTCGGCTGCCCCGACCGCGTCTTGGGCCCAAGTCTTAAGCCAGGCCTGTCCCTCCACAGGAAGAATATGTTCAAGAATGGTCAAAAGATAGCCTGGGGACGATTGTTCGACCTTTTTCTAATAGTTTTCGAATACTTTCCTTGTTTGTGAAAAAGAAGTTAATTTCTAGGTGCACTTTTGTATACTTGGTTTTGCACTTTTCTTCCACTCTTCGGCGGCTGCGGCCCCTGGGTAAGCATTCGGTGGTGCATCACCTTGAGTGCGCCACGCTGTCCGCCTCGCCTTGGGCCTCGCACGGACGCGCGTGTGTGTGTGTGTGTGGATGTGTGCGTGTGTGTGTGTGTGTGGGTGTGGGTGAATGTGTGCATGGATGTGTGTGTGTGGGTGTGTGTGTGTGCGTGTGTGTGTGTGTGTGTGTGTGTGTGTGTGTGTGTGTGTATGTGTGTAAGTGTGGGTGTGAGTGTGTGTGGATGTGGATGTGTGTGTTCTCTTGCTCGGCGAGGACCGTCGAGGGACACTTTGGGGCCATCCTGCGAAACCATGCGCGCACGAAACCGACACGTGCACGAGGAAGGGCCGCCCCAGCGACGGCGAGCCGCTTGGCCGCTCCAGGCCAGCCTCCTCGGCGCAGGAAGCGCCCCCCTGCCCTGCCCCGGGCCCGCCCTTGTCACGCCCTCCGGCCCTCGCTGCCCTGCCCCCCCTGTGCCGCGCCCGGCCCTGCCCCGACATCCTCGCGTCGTGTCGTGGCAAACGCCACGACTTTTCTTTTGCTGTTGTTGTGGTTGCTGTTGTTGCTGTTGTTGTTGTTGTTGCTGCTGCTGCTGCTGCTGCTGTTGTTGTTGAACATTATTTCTTCTAAAGAATAATTATTGTTGGGGCCCCTGGTGCACGACCCCCCCGCCGCGCCTAGGCCGCAGCCTCATTTTCATCATTTTCGTGAGGAAGTCTCAGGCAAAACGGGGGAGTCCGGATCCGGTTGTGTTGTTACGATCGGTTTTCCCTTGCAAAAAATAAGCTAAAGTGGACATTTCTTGTTCTAACATAACCAAACTTCAAGAATCCCTTGCAAAAAAAAGGTAAAGTGGACATTCGCGCGCGCAAGACGAAATCCTTCCAAAACCTTAGTTTTCGCAGCGATTTTAACATAAAAACATCAAAAAACCAATGGTTTTTCAACAAAAAATTGTCAAAATCTCATCCCGCGCGCTCTTGCGGATTCGTAGGAAACCCAACACTTTTTAAACATTTCTGTCAAACGGGCTTTTGCGAGCAACTTTTTCGAACTTCTGCGACAACGGTTGCGCACCTGCCAGGGCCATCATCCCTGTCAAATAATACCATGCGGGACACATTCGTTTTTTCTTCGCGCGCGCACGCCGTCGTCGTCGGCCGCGGGGCCCTGAATAGTAGCCACGGTCGTCCGCATGCCACGAAGTGAAGTGTCCGAACGTCATAGGGCGGGAAGCTGGGTGTGGGTGGTGGCGAAGAGTCGTTTGGAAATTTGGTAGAGCTTGAACCGGCCCCCCCACAAAGTGGGGGTATTGCCCGCCTCCTATGAAAACCCTGGCACTGGTGAGAACGGAGTGTCCCCACGTGCTAGTAATTGTTGTTGTTGTTGTTGTTGTTGTTGTTGTTGTTGTTGTTGTTGTTGTTGTTGTTGTTGTGGTTGTGGTTGTGGTTGTGGTTGTGGTTGTTGTTGTTGTTGTTGTTGTTGTTGTTGTTGTTGTTGTTGTTGGTTTGTTTCTGTTTTTTGTTGCGTGCGGGCGTTGATGTCAAAAAACATCCTCCTCCTCCTCCTCCTCCTCCCCCCGCCCGTGGTGCCCCACGAGGGCCCCGGAGCGGCGCTCGGCTGCCCCGACCGCGTCTTGGGCCCAAGTCTTAAGCCAGGCCTGCCCCTCCACGACGTTTCTTTTGCTGTTGTTGTGGTTGCTGTTGATGCTGTTGTTGCTGTGGTTGTTGTTGTTGTTGTTGTTGTTGTTGTTGTTGTTGTTGTAGTTGTGGTTGTGGTTGTGGTTGTGGTTGTTGTTGTTGTTGTTGTTTTGTTCCCCACATCCTAAGTGGGGTTCTTGTTTTCTCTGCACACCCCCCGCGCAGGATCTCTCGTCCTCTTCCCTCTCCTCTGCTCCTCTTTGCTTCCTCCTCCGCATCATCATCACCATCACCATCACTCCCCACTCATCATCATCATCACCATCAGCATCACCATCACCATCGCACGATCACTCACCATCATCGGCATCGAACGATTATCATCATCACCACCACCATCATCATCATCATCATCATCACGTCGTCATCATCACCACCACCACCATCATCATCATCATTGAAATCATCATCAACATCATCAACATCATCATCATCATCATCACCATCATCATCATCATCATCATCATCATCATCATCATCAATCATATATCATCATCAAACACCGTCGTCATCATCCCATCACCATCACCCACCAAGAGGGAGCCTCGTCTGTGAGTGAATTGTGAGGAATTCTCAGGCGGGAGCCCCTTCCCTATGGGGCCCGCAGATCATGTTAGTAACCCGAGCGGGTCATCGGATTCCTGTAACTGTCGTCACTTTTGGGCTCCTCAGGAATTTGGAGGAAGTATCAAGCGGGAGCCTCGTCTGTGAGTGAATTGCGAGGAAGTCTCAGGCGGGAGCCCCCTCCCTATGGGGCCCGCAGATCATGTTACTAATCCGAGCGGGTCATCGGATTCCTGTAACTGTCGTCACTTTTGGGCTCCTCAGGTTTGAATTTGGAGGAAGTATCAGGCGGGAGCCTCGTCTGTGAGTGAATTGCGAGGAAGTCTCAGGCGGGAGCCCCCTCCCTATGGGGCCCGCAGATCATGTTACTAATCCGAGCGGGTCATCGGATTCCTGTAACTGTCGTCACTTTTGGGCTCCTCAGGTCTGAATTTGGAGGAAGTATCAAGCGGGAGCCTCGTCTGTGAGTGAATTGTGAGGATGCGTCAGGCGGGAGCCCCCTCCCTATGGGGCCCGCAATCATGTTACTAATCCGAGCGGGTCATCGGATTCCTGTAACTGTCATCACTTTTGGGCTCCTCAGGTCTGGATTTGGAGGAAGTATCAGGCGGGAGCCTCGTCTGTCAGTGAATTGCGAGCAAGTCTCAGGCGGGAGCCCCCTCCCTATGGTGCCCGCAGATCATGTTATTAATCCGAGCGGGCCATCGGATTCTTGTAATTGTCGTCACTTTTGGGCTCCTCAGGTCTGAATTTGGAGGAAGTATCAAGCGGGAGCCTCGTCTGTGAGTGAATTGTGAGGAGGTCTCAGGCGGGAGCCCCCTCCCTATGGGGCCCGCAGATCATGTTACTAATCCGAGCGGGTCATCGGATTCTTGTAGCTGTCGTCACTTTTGGGCTCCTCAGGTTTGAATTTGGAGGAAGTATCAAGCGGGAACCTCGTCTGTGAGTGAATTGTGAGGAGGTCTCAAGCGGGAGCCCCCTCCCTATGGGGCCCGCAGATCATGTTATTAATCCAAGCGGGTCATCAGATTCTTGTAACTGTCATCATTTTTGGGCTCCTCAGGTGTGAATTTGGAGGAAGTATCAGGCGGGAGCCTCGTTTGTCAGTGAATTGCGAGCAAGTCTCAGGCGGGAACCCCCTCCCTATGGTGCCCGCAGATCATGTTATTAATCCGAGCGGGTCATCGGATTCCTGTAACCGTCGTCACTTTTGGGCTCCTCAGGTCTGAACTTGGAAGAAGTATCAAGCGGGACCCTCGTCTGTGAGTGAATTGTGAGGACGCGTCAGGCGGGAGCCTTCCTATGGGTCCCGCAGCTCACGTGGTTCCTCGGGGTCATCCTCTGGCGCGCGCTTCCTCTGGGTCGTCCTCTGGCGCGTATCGGTTGGGACGCACGTCGTGCGCTTCCTCTGGGTCGTGTTCCGCACGAGGACGAGGAGGAGGAGGATTGCCAGGAAAAGGAGGATGGATGATGCAGGACGAGACAGGAAAACAGGAAGAGGAAGAGGCTGAGGGGAGGAAGGACGAGGAGGAAAAGGAGGAGGAGGAATGCCCGAGGAGGCCCCAGTAGGTCCCGGAAGGCCCAGAAGGCTCCAGGAGGCCCCAAGAGGCCCCAGGAGGCCCCAGGAGGGGGCAGGAGGCCTAAGGAGGAGGCAGGAGGAGGAGGAGGAGGAGGAGGAGGAGGAGGAGGAGGGGGGGGGGAGGAGGGGGGAGGAATATGGAAACGAGGAGGAGGAGGAGGAGGAGGAGGAGGAGGAGGAGGAGGAGCGGATGAGGGAGAGGGAGAGGAGGAGGACAGGGGATGAGGAGGAGGAGGAGGAGGAGAAGGGAGAGGGAGAGCAGGAGGAGGAGGCAGGAGGCAGGAGGGGCAGGGGGAATGGGGGGGAGGAAGCATAACGAGGGGGAGGGGGAGGAGGTGGAGGAGGCAAGAAGAGGAGGAAGAGGCAGGGGTTGAGGCAGGAGGAGGAGGAGCAGACAGGAGGAGAACGAGGAGGCAAGAGTAGGTGGGAGAAGGGAAAGGGCAGGAGGATACCCCCATGCAAGCTAAAGAGATTATCATGTGGGGTCCTTCCGTCGGAGTATTTTTTTGTTTTTTTTGGTGTGCGCGTGTTGATGACCATCACACTTACAGCACACGTTGAATCTCGTGTCCGCTACGCGTCTGGCGCGGGTCCGCCCTTCCCACCCCGGCGGGTGGTGCACCAGAACACCTCCCGCAGCAGCCCCTGCTGGGCCCCAGGCCCTGAAGAGCAGCCCAGGATGAGGAGGGGAGCAAAACACACAGACACAATGAGTCGTCGATTCCCCAGAAAATATGGGAAAATATGGGAAGTGGGGGGGAAGATAAAAAACAAGAAAATTTGGGAAATATGGTGAATCCTGTTAATTGTGTGTATGTATTTGTGTGTCCTAGGGCCCCTTTAAGTATGAGAAGCGGGCCTCCAGGAAGCGTTGAGACCTCCTAGGGGCCACGCTGCGAGCATGGGCAGGACGTCGGATGTCTGCCTGCCCGTGCATCCGCCGCCGCGGCATCGCTCGCATCATGGCTCCCCATAGTTTTTGGACCCCTTCGTGCGGCGAGGATGCCTTGCATCCCTCCTGATTCCCTCCGCCCCCCCTCTCCCTCCCGCCTTCCCTCCTCCCTCCCTCCATGCATCCTTCCCTCCGTCTGCTCCTTCCCTGGGACCGGCTCTTCATCGCGAGACGTTTCTTAACGGCTTCCGGTGTGGACAAGGGCCATTGGAGGCCGAGGTTTGCCGAAAACCTACCTCCCGTCGTGTGATGTTTTCGCAGTCCGAGGATGTCAGGGAGGCATTGTCCTGTCCCGCCTCGCCCCGCCCTGTCCTGCCCCCCGCGCGCGCGCATCCGAGAGGACCTGGACGAGAAGCAGCGGTCCCTGCCAGATCCATCGAAGATAGAGGAGGGGGGCTCTCACAGAAAGTGTTGGACATGTCTCTGGGAGATCAGTGCCTTGAGCATGCCGCTGCGCACCGGGAGGAGCAGATGTGTGAGGGCGTGCTTGTGAGATGGTAGGCGAAGGCGGAGGGGAGTGCTGACGCGATTTCCATGTGGCGGACAGGCGTTTCGTTTTCTTTGCAGGTTTGTTTTGATTCTGCACTGGTTAGGGTAGCACATCAAGAAGGCCTTGTGTACCCGAGTCTTTAGAGTGCGTTAGCGTCTATTCGAGTCTGGTAGTCGATGAGGTAGCGCGGACTCAGCGTCGATTAGCGTGGGTTAGCGTCGATTTAGCGTCGATTTGCGTTGATTCGCAAGAGCCAACAAGATTGTATGGGAGGCTTCCACGATTTGCAACAGAAGGTCAATCAATACCAGTCCTTCTCTTCTTGGTCTCGGGCTGTCGCTTCACATCTGGGGAGTTCAGTTTCTTGGGCATGCAGCTCTGCTTGAATTTCTATAGCTTCGAGGGAGGCCTTGATCGTGCCGCCGGGCCATGGCATCATCATCAAGAAGGATGCGCTTGCCTGCTTTCAGGGTGGAGGATGTGGGGGCTCTTTCAAGGCACTGCAGTGTAAGCAATCAGCTCCAAGATAATATGAGATATCAGTCGATCTCGGAGCCCCTGCGCCCTTTGACTCTCGCAGCCTGCTTCGCCCCTCGTTTGTTGGTTTTGCAATTCGGTGCCATTGCAAAGTTGGCCTCGGTCTTGCATCCTGGATGAGCACCTCTACGGTCTACGCAGCGCTATGTCTCGTGATCATGAACGGACGGTGTAGTGACTGACTGTGTCGTGCAATGTAGAGGGGAGATGAGCGTTTGCAGAAAGCAGCGTGGGATATAGTTGAAGTCTGCCAACGGTAGCGCGACTCCTGCTGTCAGCGAGGGTTGAGAGGGGAGAAGGTAGTGGTCATAATCCCGCTCTGGCACTCTCTCGAGTATGGCAATGCTCTCTGACGCATCTCGCTGCCATCGGCGCCAGAGAGCTTGTTGCCAAAGTCTCCCGTCGTGCAGTCTGCGGCAGCCAGTCTAGCATGCAGCCAATCTGCCCAAGGGTACCCTCACGGTTCATCCTTGGCCACTTTGGTTGGCCGCGCCCCGCCCGAGATGCTTCGAAATGGGCGTCCAAGGTTCTTGCATCCTTACCGTGGATCCGTATCATATGGGTCGACTAGCCATCGGTAAAGAAATGAAGATAGCAGAGGAGGCAAACATTTGGAGGAACTATCGAATTAGGGAAGCAGTGGTATCGCAAAGGCCGCCGCCGTCGAGCATGTTTCGCAGATGAGGCCAGCAGCAAAAGAAGGTCGCGTGGCGGGCGTGCCTCGGCACAGGTGGCAGGCTCTCAGTGGTGTTGCGGTACTGGCAGTCGCGACGCGTCGTTATCGTCACCGTTGTGCTCGTCGTCGTCGTTGCCGTCGTCGGCACCATCGTCTGTCGTCCGTGCCGTGGCCGTTGTCTTTGCATTACGTTTCCATGCTTTGCATGTCATCGCATTGTTTGGAGAGGCATTGCGGTGCACCGCGTTGCATGGCATTCCATTCTAGTGCATCTATAGTAGTGCATCGTACAATGTTGCTTGGGGCGTCCCACCAATCAGAGAAATAGAGAGAGGGAGAGAGTGAGAGAGAGAGAGAGAGAGCTGCCCGTGGGGAGGCGAAAGGGTCGCCTGCCCCGGCCGTGCACCAGGCCCGAAGCCTCAGTGCAGCTCCCCAAGCACGGTGGCGAGGATCAGGACAAGGTACTCAGATTCGAAGAAGAGACACGCCATAAGCATAAACTTTTGGCGCTCCGCGCGGATTTCTTGAATCCGCGATGGCTCCAACATCCATGCTAAGTCTTCAGGGGCAGATCATGAAGTCCTCTGCGCCGCTGCGCTCAGGAGGAGGAGCAGGGCGAAGGGGGGAGGAGGAGGAGAGGGAGGAGGCGGAAGACTCTGCTGGACTCTGCTGAGCGCCGCGCAAGTGGCAAAGGGATGATGATGATGATGATGATGATGATGATGATGATGATGATATGATGATGATGATGATGATGATGATGATGATGATGATGATGATGATGATGATGATGATGATGATGATGATGATGATGATGATGATGATGATGATGATGATGATGATGATGATGATGATGATGATGATGATGAAGTGATGTGATGTGATGATGATGATGATGGTGCTGCGCTGCTGCTGTGATGATGATGTGATGATGATGATGATGTGATGATGATGAGGAGGAGGAGGGAGGAGGAGAGGAGGAGGAGGAGGAGGAGAAAAGAGGAGGGAGGAGGAGGAGAGGAGGAGGAGGAGGAGGAGGAGGAGGAGGAGGAGGAGGAGAGGAGGAGGAGGAGGAGGAGGAGGAGGAGGGGAGGAGGAGGGGGAGGGAGGAGGAGGAGGAGGAGGAGGAGGAGGAGGAGGAGGAGGGGAGGAGGAAGGAGGAGGAGGAGGAGCAGGAGGAGGAGGAGGAGGAGGAGGAGGAGGGGAGGAGGAGGAGGAGGAGAAGGAGGAGGAGGAGGATTGCGTGGACCTCGATCCCGTTCACCCCGCATCCACAGGGCACCTGGCACGACTTCCCGGTGTCTTGCGGCCCGCCCGTGTCCGCCTTCATCATCAACACCGAGGAGGTGGCGTGTCCGTGCTCCCCTCCCTCCCTCCTCCCTTGCCTTCCCGTCCTCTCTTCCATCTTCTTCCTACTCCTCTTCCTCTCTCCTCCTCTCCACCTCCTCCTCTTCCTCCTCTCCTCCTCCCCCTTTTCCCCCCCCTTCTTCTCCTCCTCCCTCCCTCCCTCCTCTCCCTCTCCTCCCTCCCCTCCTCCTGTTCTTTCTTCTCCTCTCCTCCCCCATTTTTTTTCCTCCTCTCTCGGATCCTCTCCCCCCTCCCCACCCCTTCCACGCGACAAGACCCAGCATGTAGGAGGCACCACTCCCCCCACCCCCCTCTGCCCGGCGGCTGCCCGAGCTGGGCGCCGCCTCTTCCAGCGCGCGTTTAAGAACGCTTCCGCGCACGACTCCCCGCCTCGTGCACGGTAGATTCGCGTCGTGTCGACCAGCGGCGACCCCGCTGCTGGTCGTCGGGGCTCAAGAGACCCAGACCCCTTCGCGCTGTGACGAAATCACGACGGGAGGTTATTCGATACGGCTTCTTGGGTCCATCGCGGGGCTTTGGGACCGTCAACAAAACCACTTAGGACGAAAAACTGATCCCGGGGAAGGGGTCCAGACCTCTGGGGGTCGACGTTGTGAAACAAAAATCACGACCACGATGTTTGGCCGGAGACGGGGGTCAACGCAAACGGGGTCAGTCGGAGCGCCAGATCTTGCAGGATCTTGCAGAGCCAGGGGCGCGCTGCCCTGGGCTTGGGTGCAGGGTCCTGCAGGATCCTGGAGGATCCTGCAGGACCCTGGAGGACCTGACTGATCCGGCTCTGGATGGACCCAGGTCAGCAGATCCCCGAGGCCGACACGTTTCGTCTTTGGGTGTGCCTCTGGGGGGACGCGTCGCGGCCTCTGGGCGTCTCTGGGGGCCCGCGTCGGGCCTTCAGGAATCGAGCCGGGATCGAAAGAGCGGCCGGGGTGTCGGGGCCCCTGGGGCCAAGGCACGGTAGGTTCTTCTTCCCTCCCTCCTCCCTCCTCCCTCCTCTTCCCTCCTCCTCCTCCTCCTCCTCCTCCTCCTCCTCCTCCTCCTCCCGTTTCCTCCTCCCCCTCCTCCACCTCTTCCTCCTCGTTCGTGTTTGGCTTGGGCTTCGCGGCTGCAGAAGGGACGATGACATCCACGGGATTCTCCGACAGGTTCATGCCACAGACACCACGACTTCAAGGAAACTACGTCACTACATGGGGCTACAACAAACGAGTGGGATACGCATTATCCTGAGTAAGCCTCCGGCGCGCGGTGCCTCTCATGCGAGGCCATGGCTTCACCCGCCTCGCCCTTAAGGGGCCCGGGCGCATGCCCGCACAGGCGATCCGATCCGATCCGATCTTCCTCCTCCGCCTCCTCCCGTCTCCTCCTCCCCCTCCTGTATCCTCCTTGGTCCATGCGGAACGATCTGATGCTTCGGGAGCGGCCGATCGTTCAAAATGGAACGATCCCCGCGGTGCCAGAAACCAGCGCCGAAGTCGGCACGACACGAACACGCTGTACGTGCTCTTTTCTGGCGCACATGCTTCCAATCCTGTGTTCACGTTTTTTTTTCTGGCGCGTCATGCTTCTCTGCCTTCTATTATTTTGCGAGTGTTTGTGTGTTTGTGTGTTTGTGTGTTTGTGTGTTTGTGTGCGTGTGCACGTGGTCGATCCAACGGGGGATCTCGCTTCTGAAGCCCAGCCGCGCGCGCCCGTCCCGCGCTGCTCGCGCGACTTTTTCCGCCTCGTCGCTGCGCGCGAGGTCGCGACTGGCCAAAATGTGTGTGTGTGTGTGTGCGCGCGTGTGTGTGTGTGTGTGTGTTCCCGCTGCAGCGTTGTGGCGCGGCGTTCAGAATGGTTCCCTCGCCCAAGCGCGGTTTGCGTTTCTGGAACGATTTTTTTTCCTCGATGACGCCCCCCTTTCTTCTCTTCCGCCTTCTCCTGGTCCTCGTGCTCCTCCTGCTCGTCTTACTCCTGCTGCTGCTCCTGCTTCTCCTCCTTATCCTTCTCATCTGCCACTCGTTCCTCTGCCACCTCTTTCTCCTCCTCCCCCTCCCCCTCCCCCTCCCCCTCCCCCTCCTCCTCCTCCTCCTCCTCCTCCTCCTCCTCCTCCTCCTCCTCCTCTTCCTCCTCCCCCTCCTCCTCTTCCCCCTTCTCCTCCTCCTCCTCCTGCTCCTCCTCCTCCTCCTCCTCTTCCTCCCCCTCCAATGTACACAGCTTCCCTTTTTGATTGCGCACCACACGACGGGACCCTTGGGGGGATCCAGGTCCGCTAGGACACTCGTCGGCGAATACAGGGAAGCAGCGCAATGGAAACGAATGGATGGGTGGGAGTGCTAGAGTGTCAGATGTGGCGTGCGCCTGGCTTGCTGTCCCTCTCTCCCTCCTCCCCCCTCCCCTCCCTTCCTGATCGTTCCCTTCCTCCCTCCCTCCCCTCCCCCCAGGCATCCGACGTTGCGTGTTTCTCACAGCGCGATGCCCGGAGGTGTGGACCCCTGCCCCAGGGACTGTCTTCGCGCCCCGAGTACCCATCGGTCGATGAAAGTAGGTATTTTTGGAGTCCCAGATTCCAGTCTATTTTCAGCGCCTTCCTACTTCAATGATCGAGTGGTTACCTTTTCCGTCATCGTTAGGGGGCGGGCGGACACCCATTCTATTCTCAACGCCTTCCTACTTCGTGTTTCGACCTACTTCTTCAGGCCGATGGGTACTTCTTCCCGGAGAGGGCTCGAGCCCGGGGTTCTCTTTGAGTAGGTTCCCCCCCCCGGTTGTGATGCGAAGAGGGCCGGCGGAGTTCTTCTGCGACGCTTGACGAGGTCGACGAGGGCGGGCGGAGTTGAATTTTGAGGAAGTCCCCCAAACACAGGGTGAGGTAAGCATTTTTGTGTGTTGCGGACGTCTCGAGCGAAACACTTGTCTTTCAGAAACTGTTGAGGATATCTCGAGCGAAACGTTTGATTTGTGCTAGAGATCGTTCCTCTCCTGGGGACCACAATTCAGAGGAAGTCTCAGGTGAAATGCTTGTTTTCACGTGCCCAGGTCTTGAGGATGTCTCGAGCGAGACGCTTGTTTTCACGCCTCCAGGTTGCCCAGGCAGATGTCTAGCATCAGGACTTGTTGAGGATGCCTCGAGCGAGACGCTTGTTTTCACGCGTCTAGGTCGTCCAGGCAGATGTCTAGCATGAGGATTTGTTGAGGATGTCTCGGGAGAGGCGCTTGTTTTCACGTGTCCAGGACGCCCAGGCGGATGTCTTATGGGAGGATTTGTTGAGGATGTTTCGAGAGAGACGCTTGTCTTCACGCGTCCAGGTCGTCCCGGCGGATGTCTAGCATGAGGATTTGTTCAGGATGTTTCGAGAGAGACGCTTTTTTTCACGTGTCCAGGTCGCCCAGGTGGATGTCTAACAGCAAGATGTGTTGGGGATGTCTCGAGCAAGACGCTTGCTTTCACGTGTTCAGGTCGCCCAGGCGGATGTCTAGCATGAGGATGTGCTGAGGATGTGAGGAGCGAACCGCTTGTTTCCCGTGCCCAGGTCGCCCAGGCGGATGTCTAACATGAAGATGTTCGGAGGATGTCTCGAACGAGACGCTCGTTTTCGCGTGTCCAGGTCGCCCAGGCTGATGTCTAGAATGAGGATGTGTTGAGGATGTGTTGAGCGAAACGCTTGTTTTCCCGTGTCCAGGTCGCCCAGGCGGATGTCTAACATGAGGAGGTGTTAAGCACGTCTCGAGCGAGACGCTTGGTTTCACGTGTCCAGGTCGCCCAGGCGGATGTCTAACATGAGGATTTGTTGAGGATGTCTCGTGCGAAACGCGTGTCGCAGTAAAGTGCGTCGTAATCCAACCCCGCCTTTCCATGGGGCGTCCCCTGGCGCCCTGGCGCTGGGTCAGGGACGTCACGTGGCACGTTCCCTGACGCGTTCCCTGGCACGTTCCCTGGCGCGTCGCCTGGCACGTTGCCTGGCACGTTCCGTGGCGCGTCACGTGGCGAGTCTCCCTGGCACGTCGCGCGGCGCGTCCTTTGGCACGTCCCGTGGCACATCCATTGGCACGTTCCTTAGCGCGTCCCCTGGGCACGTACCACGGTGTGTCCCCATGGCACGTCCCTTAGCACGTCCCCTGGCGCGCCCCATGGGGAAGTTCCGCGGGGCGTCCCCCTGTTGGCAATTAGCTCTGGGGCAGGAATTATGTGCGCAGGCAGCTCTAGCCTAAGATCCAGATCAGTTCGGTCAGGACTCGGATGCAAAGGACGACTCGATCCACAACGCTATAGAGCACAATCGCGGCATGGCACATCGCAATTCAGCACGGTGCAGACAGCACAGCCCTTTGCCACGGTACATGAAGATCGAAATTCTCAGCATTGCAGTTGCACGTCGCCCAAGCAGGTGTCTTGAAAACGTTGCCATGCCTCACTTGTCTATATTCCTTTCCGGGTTCGTGGGTCGATCATGTTTGACGGCCCCGCCGCCCAGGAAGGGCCCCCAGAGGCCCAAAGTTAAGGCCACCAGTAATGTCAGGTAACTGCCACCAAGGACCGCCGGGTTCCGCCGAAAGATTGCCGATTACCGCCGAAAGATCCCCGATTACCGCCGATGGCGGATGGACAACGAGGGCGGGCCCGCGTGTCAAACAATAATTCCTGGACGTGTTCTTCTGTGCGTTCTGCCTAGAATTTCAAGGCGGATCCAGCCGCGCCGACGAGGAGCTCACTGCAGGCCCAACAAGTGCGAACACATGTCCAAGGTCGATGCTTCCAGCCTTGAGGATGCCACGGCCCCTCTCTCCCTCTGCGGATGAGATTTGTATCCACATCCATGGCGTCTTGGAATTTTGAGGAAGGGACGCCGAACACCTGACACGCATTCCATGCAGACGACCAACTGGCCTATCGGGCTTTAACAAAGTCGGCAGCCCGAAAACCCGAGTCGCCGTGGAGATGTACATAAGCCTGGCCTGCGCCCTCCTCCCCCTCCTCTCCCTGCCTTCCTCCTCCTCCTCCTCCTCCGCCCTCCTCCTCCTCCTCCTCCTCCCTCCTCCCTCCTCCCTCCTCCCTCCTCCTCCTCCTCCTCCTCCTCCTCCTCCTCCTCCTCCTCCTCCTCCTCCTCCTCCTCCTCCTCCTCCTCCTCCTCCTCCTCCTCCTCCTTGTCCCACCCTTCGTCTCGGCCTTTGTCCCCCCCTTCCTCTCGACCTGTCTGGCGCCCCCCCGCGGCAGCGCGCGCTCCGCAGGTGGTGGCCGCGCTGGCCTCGATGGCCGCCCCGGCGCCCATGGACCACGGCGACTGCTACAAGCTTCGGCTGCGCGGGGGAGGGCGAGGTCTAAGGCTCGAAAGTCGATCAGAGTTGTCCAATTTCGGCGTTTTCTCTCCCCCTACCCCTCCTCCTCCTCCTCCTCCTCCTCCTCCTCCTCCTCCTCCTCTTTTCGACGTTCAGCAAACTTAGATCAGCTGGGATCGTAGCGTCATTCCTCTTCCTCCTCCTCTTCCTCCTCCATCGGCGGATGTCAGGGGTTGAGGTCCGAACGCAGATTTGTCTTTTCTGTGCTTGTTCCCCACATGCTAAGTGGGGTTCTGGTTTCCTTCCCGCCCGCGTCCTGCCCGCGTCGCACTCGCATCTCACCCGCCCACCTCCCCTTCTCCTCCTCCTGCTCGCTTGTGCACTCATCAGACACGCACATACAGAAGCGCACGAGACGTGCTCATTGCAGCATACACACCAGACAGATGCAACACATGCGCGGTATTGACACGCATGACGCAACAGTCTCGCTCGTTCACACACAACACGCGCACGCACCCATACACACATCCGACACACACGCACGGTAGTATTGCACCTCGCGTGTTCACTGCATCATTGGCGACCGCGTCGCACCCGCGTTCTCCCATCTCCATCCATCTCCCGACCTCAATCCGCCTCCTCCCTCGTACACTCATCAGACATACGCGCGCATGCATTGCATCACACGCGCGCGCACACAAACACACACACATACATACACAGACACAGACACACACACACACACGCGCGCACACGCATCAGGCATACGTGCACGTCCACATGCAGCCGCACACGCCTCATACGCATACGGCCGACCAGACCAGGTCGCAGGTTCGTGGCAGGCACGGCACCCTCTCGACACCAGATTGGGTGCGCCGGGGGGGGGGGGTCCTTCACCGCGGCCTCGATCCACGCCAGGGTCGCAGGGCGGGGCAGGCGTGGCACTTGCTCGACACTACAGGGGGTGCGCAGGGGTTGGTCCTTTACCGCGGTCTCTAGGCGTGCCAGGGCCGGAAAGCGTGGCAGGCGTGCGACTTCCTGGGCACCAGAGGGGGTGTGCAGGGTCTGGTCCCTCAGCACAGCCTCTATTCCCGCCATGCTCGCAGGGCGTGGCGTGCGTGGCACTCTCTCGACACCACAAGGGGGGGGCGCCCGAAAGGCTGTTGAGGCACCCCGAGAAGCCTCTGAGAGCTTCCCAGAGGTCTCTGAGAATTGCCAAGAGGCCCTGGGAGCTTTCGATAGGGCCTGAGAGCTCCCGAAGGGGCTTCTGTGAGCTTCCGAAGAGGTATCTGAGACGTCCCGAGAGATCTCCGAGAGATCTTTGGGAGCTCCCGAGAGGCCTCTGAGATTTCCCGAGAGGCCTCTGAAAGCGTCCGCGAGGCCTCTGAGATTCCCCGAGCCACCTTCTGAGACCGTCCGAGAGGCTTCCGGCAGTTCCCGAGAGGCGGCTCCTGAGAGCCCCCGAGAGGTTTCCGAGAATGTCCGATCGGCTTCGGGAGGCCTTTGGGAGCTCACGAGAGGCCTTTTCTGGGACTTCCCGAGAGGATTCTGCTCGCGTCCGAGAGGCCGCAGAGATCTCCCTCGAGGCCTCGGGGCAATCTTTCGAGGTCCCGGGAGGCCTCTGGGAATTCCTTGGAGGCTTCTGAGAGCTCCCGAGAGGCCCCTGGGAGCCACCGAGGGGCTTCTTAGAGCCTCCGAGGGGGCGCTGAGCGCTTGTGGGGCCGTATTGAGAGCCCTCGGGGCTGTCTTCGAAATTTCTCGGGGGCTTCGTGGGGCGTTTCGATAGCCTCTTGGGCCGTCTAAGAGCCGTCATCTGAATCTGCGGGGCCATTTCTGACGCTTGCCAGAACGGGAAGGCCTCGGTGCGCAAAAGGTACATATACCCAACGTAGTA